TGTTTTGTTACCCGGCTAGGTTAACATCTTCAGCGAGCACTGAAGATGCTACTTAGTCAGGTAATGAAACATCTGCAAGAAAACAGCCAAGCTCAGAGAACCCAAGGACTCCACAATCTTTTAGCAGCTGGAGGGATGCTTTTTTTTTTTTTTAAAAGGTTTTAAACCTCTGAGGGCTGCAGGAAGCAGGGCAACATGGTGTGGGAGAGCCCTTTAGCCTTTTTTCTGTCCCCCTCGAGTCTGGGGTGTGTGTGTGTGTGTGAGAGAGAGAGAGAGAGGACTCAAGACAGATGTACTATCAGATAGTTCACAAACCTTTTCAGTTTATTTCTTTTAAATTTAAAAAAAAGCTACAAATATGATTATTTGTTGCTGAATTTAATCAGCATAATTTGGGTGGGCTCCAGAAGACACAAAATGGAGCTGGGGCATGCATATTATCTGTGGGTTATCCTTCTGCTACAGATTTCTGTGAAGACACTTTAATTCAACAAACTATTAGCTGCAGAACTGTCTGGCTAGGCTGTTGCACAAACTCAAAGAATTTTGCATTGCAGGGGTCCAATGAGTGACAAAAATTAAACTACGGAAACACAATGTTTCAAGTATTAAAAGACACAACAACAACAACAATAATTCGCCTTCTCCTCCTCCTCCTCTTTCGTCGTCTTCTTTGCTCCAAACCCATAATGGTCAGGGACCAAGCACAGAAAATGTGTTTTTGAGTTTTGCTGTATTTTATCACCAAGCTTTAGCAGTAGTGTTAGCAGTCATCAACAGTGGTATGTGCTCTTTGAATCATGAGTTGCTATCCCTCTGCTGCACCATTCATTCACAGACTTATCACAACTTAGGATATGAAACTCTTTTGTGAAGGGCATCTTAAAATAAACAACATGTAATATAATAGCAAAATGCTATTTCTGATTCCTTAATTCCATTCCTCAATTAAATAATGCATTGCGTAGGGAAATATATAGTCACCTTCCTTGAGAGATAGTCACAAAATACTGTCCTAAAACCTGAGTAAAACAAAATTTATCAACCCGAACAGTATGTGTAACCCGATTCTGGACAACCACAACAGAATTATGATCTATGCATGAACTGATAGATAAAAGAGTCTCTGATTTCATACGTAGCCTGTAGAAGTGGAATTAGCCACTTCTAACAAGCAATCTTTTTTAAAAAGCCTTTAAAATATATGGTAGGATTCTACCATAAATTGGGGCAGGTTAAGTGGAATTTTTAACTTAAAACAAAAGTTAATGACCCAGAAGCATATTGCAACCATTTTAAAAAGGTATCATAGCTTTTGTAAGTGTCAGTGCTAGAAGATGAGAAACTAAGAGATATTGTTCAAAACTCCCATATGGAATTAGATACAGATTATCTATACTGATACCATCTCTTAGTGCATTTTTCACTAACTTGAACAATATTTATTGCTGTCTTCAAAGGACTCATAGTTTATCCTTTGAGAATCTGAACTAATTCAAGGGCTGGGTTAGAGCAAAGGGGAGAAGAATTAGCAGTTTATCAACCACTTTCCATGGCATTCATCTTGTAGTCCACCATAACCTGAGTAGTGTATTTATGAGGAACAAGAAGAGAACAAAGGAAAACCTAATAAATGATGCCTCGCTCTTCTTCTCACCCCCACCACCAACACCTGGGATGCTGAGAGAGGGAGGCTAAGACAAGTTGCATGGCTCTTCCTTTCTCTTGATCTTAACACAGTAAAGGGGACCCTTGACAATCTAAGAATGGTAAACCAGAGAATCTGCTTTGGCAAATCCCATAAATGATGTTCTATTACAGTAACTTTGTACAAAACTATATCTATATATCTATATCTATACACACACACACACACACACACGCACACACACACAGCTGTCAGGTAAGTCCACAGTACCAGTAAGATAAAGCAACGTATTTAAATATTTGCATTAATTTTAAATGAAACTAAAAATATTTTACAAAGATACTTATAAAAACCCAAAACAAAGAACTCCAGCCCTAATTTCATAACGTAACATACTTTGTCTTCTAAAATATCAATAATAGGAAATACATTTAGCTAACCATCCAGCTGTCTTCGAAAAACAGGAAATGTTTTAAAAAGAACACTATAAATCTGCTCACTGATTTTCCATGACCAAATCCAAACCAGTCATTTCCTTGAGCAGAAATTAAACAAAATCTAACATCCTAGATAAGCTATTCATAGTGAATATATGGTCCATGGAAAGCTAGCAGAACTCTTCAATGGCCAGACAATAACCAAGCACTCAATATAAAGTTTTCTTAATTTTATAAGCAGCAGACAAAAGCCACACAGTCCCATCACCTAATCTCCCCAGATGCCGCAAAATGTTCTGATTAGTAGAGAGGGTGTTTTTCTTTCAATTACCCCTTTAAAGTGTTCAGCAGCTAAGCAAGAGCAGGCATATAAAGCAGTATTTTTTTTTATCAGATACTGGAAGCAGGCCTCTGTTTGACAGGGGGAGCTTATACAAAGCCCACAATTTGCTGGATCATTGTGGTTCTCTGACTGCCACCTGCTGGGAAAGTCAGCCTGCTGAAGCCTGTTTGTGTACATTCCCAGTGCCAGCTCTTATCACTCAGTTTGTTCTGCATTTTTCTCAGCTTTATATTTAGCCCTGTTAAAGTAGCACAAACATGGTCATCCCATTCCCTGAAGACTGCCAATTCTAAAAGGGAGAGAATATGGTTCACTGCATTTGTCAGTTAACATGCCAGATTAATTGCTTTTAAAAAAAAAAAACACCTTTGAACAGTTTAGCTATTCAAAAGCTAAGGAAACCACTGTTTGAAAAAATAAAACCCCAATTTTTGCTTGAAAGTAGCTGGATAATGTCAAACCATATTCACTGAATTTTTAATCTTAATTTTCCATCAAAAGTAGACTGAAAATCCTTTATCAAAAAATACAGCCTTGGCTGTCCTTCCTTGGCAGTCCCTCTCCCACCTGCCCTGGAGCAAAGCAGGCCTTCTAATTCCTCAGACAGGAACCAAGAGATGATTTATAGCAAGTCTGTAAGAAGCAGAATATACTATATCCAGGACAAACTACTAATAAAAGTGGCATATTTAAGATACACTACATTAGAGACTACATTACTCTGAAAAGCACTTGTTCCTTTGTTCTAGAACATTAGAACCGTTTAATTTCACCTACTTCCAAAAATATAAAAAATAAAAAACAACTATATACCCGAAAAAAATTACAGGCAGTCCTTGCCTAACAACCACAATTGGGACTGGAATCACAGTGGCTGAGCGAAGCAGTTGTTAAACAAGACACTCATGTGACTGCTTCGCTCAATGACTGCAATCTGGGCACTTCCAGTTGTGGTCGTTAAGCGATCTCCCAGGTCATTATGCGAATGGAATGAAAGAGCTGTCGGACGAAGGATTTCAGCTCAGCCAGAGCTGAAATCCTCCCAGCAGGCAGCTCTTTGAAAGCAAAAGGGCTGCCCGCCAGACAGTTTTAGCCAGACAGTTTTAGCTCGTGTAGAGCTGAAATCCTCCCAGCAGGGAGCCCTTTCACTCTCAAACGTTCCTAAAGCCGTGGAAGGGTTTGCCCTCCCCTCTGTGGATGGAGGGGAAATCCTTTCTGGGGCTGGAAGAACAGAGCTCAAATTTTCAGGATTTGACCTCTGTTCCTTCCCGCTGCTGAGAGGAGAGGGGAAACACTGCAAAGGGAGGAGAAATCCTTAGTGGGGCTGGAGGAGTGTCCATTCCTGCACACTGCCGCATCCCCTCCACTTGCAACCTTCCCTGGAAGCTTCCAATGGGGAAGCCAGCAGAGAAGATTGCAAATGGTAATCACATGATCGTGGGGCACTTGGCAACTGGTCGTAAAT